ATCCCCACCTGAGATCAGTTGGCTTGGACTTCCGTGGAGTGCCAGCAATTTACACAAACAGAGAAGCCCCACACCCACCCTTCCCACTGCTCTCAATTCAGAAATCACAGGCCAGATCCAAAGCTGCCTTCATTGGGAAAGCGCCATTAAAACTAGTGCTGATTCCTGTCAGCCCATTATCCAAACATGCCGATTGCAGGGGAGTCCAAAGGAGAAAACCTGAGACATTTCCGTGGCGAAGGAGAGATTTATTGGTTTCAGACTCGGTTTGCAGTTCGTTAATTTCAGGAATGTGTTAGCACAAATCTCCCAGATGGTAGGTGCTGTCTAGAGCTACCCCACATAAGGGCAGCCCCTGCTGGACTCCACTTCGGTGCATGGTTGGGAAGAACAGGGAGGGGGGGAAGTCCAGCATCCTTGAAGTGCAGCAAGTAACAACACGTCTTGTTGACAGCTGCACATTAAGTGTGACGGGTTTCTGACAGATCCAATTATAAAGCCAGGTCTCTGCAGAATCCCTGGCCCTGATAATTAGTGCATGAAATTTTGTTTCTGAATTTTTTTAAAGTGTGCATTGCTTGCCCTATATTTGAGTGGAGGAGGCAGAAGAGACTCCAGAGGGTCATCTCCCATTTCCAAATCAAATCCCGGCTTAGGAACTAATTCCCCCTTCCCCATTTCCTATTGGAAGCACAGTTCAAATACTTGGGAAAAGGAGCACAGAATTGTAACTGGGTCGGCACTCACCTCACGCAAGTGCCCCCGTGTGGTCCAGTGCGGGTTCCTGCACTGCCTCAGTTTTAAAAAGCCGTGCGGCTACTCAGCCCTCCGGCTGAGTCACACAGCTCATGTGAAATCACAAACGCCTTCCAGGGCACACCTCTAGCAGGGGCCTGTCCCAGTGCCCTCTTCTCTCTCAACTTCTTTCTTGACTTTTTACGGACCTTTTCCTCAATTTTTTCTTGACTTTTTCTGTACTTTTTTTAATTGACTTTTTCCAGACTTTCTAAACATTTTCCGGACTCTCTCTCAACTTTCTTTTTTAAACTTATTCTTGACTTTTTTCTCAACTTTTTCTGGACTTTTTTCTCAGATGCTTATTCGCAACTTTTTACAGACATTAAGCTTTTTTTCTCAACTTTTTCTTGACTTATTCTCAACGTTTTCCTTACTTTTTTACTCAACTTTTTCCAGACTTTTTCTTGACATTTCTCTACTTTTTTCTCAGATTATTCTTGACTTTTTCCAGACTTCTTTCTTGACTTCTTTCTCGACAATTTCTGATCCTTTTTCCTTGACTATTTTCTCTACTTTTTCCTTACATTTCCCTCGACATTTCTCAGACTTTTTTCTCCAGTTATTTCTCGACTTTTTTCTTGGTTTATTCTTCATTTTTTCTGGAATTTGTTCTAAAAAATTTTCTTGACTTTTCCAGACTTCCTCCCTGGATTTTTTCCTCAACATATTTTCAACCTTATTTTGAACACTTTTCCCCTCACTTTTTCATGATTTTTTTCTGACTTTTTCCTCAACATTTTCCAGACTTTTTTCCTTCAGCTTTTTCTCAACTTTTCCCCACCTTTTTTCAGAGTTTTTTTTTTTTTTTTTTTTTTAACTTTTTTCCAGATTTCTCTCAACTTTCTCTGGATTTTTTTCTCAACTTTTTTCAGAGTTATTTTTTTACTTTTTTTGTAGACATTTTTACTCAGTTTCATGACTTATTTCTCAACTTTTTCCAGTCTTTTTCCCCTCACTTTTCCAAGACTCTTTTCTCAATTTTTCCCTCAACATTTTCCTGACATCTCTCGACTTTTTCCTTGAATTTTTTCTTGAAATATTCTCAACTTTTTCCTAAACATTTTCTGGACTTTTTTCTCAACTTATTCTTGACTTTTTTAGTTACATTTCCTGAACTTTGTTCTTGACTTTTGTCTCAAATTTTTTCTTGGCTTATTCTCAACTTTTTCCAGACTTCTATCTCAAATTTTGCTAGATTTTTTTCTGGTCTTTTTCTTGATTTTTCATTGACTTCTTTTTCAGCTTTTTAATTGACTTGTTCTTGACTTTTTTCTAAACTTTTTCTCGGCTTTTTCCAGACATCTTTTTCGACTTTTTCTCTCAAGTTTTTCTAGATATTTTTTCTGAGCTCTTTCTAACCTTTTCCAAGACTTGTTTTTCAACTTTTTATTGACTTTTCTCAACCATTTCCAGACTTCTTTCTCAACATTTTTTATTTTTCCAGACTTTTTCCCTACTTTTTTCTCGACTTTTCCCAGACTTCTTTTTTTGTCTTTTTTTATTTGTTTTTGACGTATTTCTTGACTTTTTCAAAACTTAACAGACCTTTCTGTGATCTGCAAGGCCTTCTGAGCTAAGCCAGGCCAAACAGCTGTGGATCTTTTGCTTTTCCCTAGCAATTCTTGCCCCATGCAAAGAAGCATAAAAACCCAGTAACGTAGCAGCTTTATTCCCTTCCTCTCTTTTGCTTGGGAGTTGAAACTCAGCTGACGGGAAGAATTCTTGAGCCAGACTCCTTTTCATAGGCAGGGGGAAGGCTTTTGCTCACTTCAGTGCTCTCATACGGATGTGGGTACCCGCGGCTCATTTTTGCAGCTGCGGAAACCAACTTTGTATCAGCGGAGGGCTCTATGGGTGAGGCCAGGCTTTCCTTGTTGGCTGGAGGTAACAGTTAGGGACCAGCATTCCCCACTAATCTCTCTCTCAGGTCTGGTGTTATACAGGGCAGAGGTGGACAAAGTCAGTGCTCCCTTTACAGCGGGGGAATACAAAGCTGGCGCTAAACACGCACGGCAACTCACCGCAGTTCGGTACAGAGTCAACACCTGCTGATCATTCCATGCTGCGGGATAATAGCCCCGCTGGTG